AGATTTAAAGTTTCAAAGTTTTCGAAATATTAAAAACGTGTTTGTGAGAACGATTTGTTTTATTAGATTTCATAAAGATTTCAAATCTTGAAATGTTAAACTTTATCATCAGGATTCTTCACTTTTTCGAATATAAGTTAGACATTTTTTCTGTTTTAAGCTGGAAGTCCACACCACGCGTTCTACGCTTTTTCGCATTCTACGCGGCTGTCAAAAAGTAGAATCAATGTTGTGGTGTGCTACAAGTTACAAAAACAAAAGCGTAGGATGCCTTGACGCGTAGAATGCTTTTGTAAGCGTCATAAGCGTCGCACAAACATGTCAGCTGATTTTGATAATTTATATTCTATTTTGAACGTGTATTATCATCTGTAGTAGGGTTCTATAAATCGACTATAAAATAATCAAGATTTAGATTTCAGTTTAGATTAGAAAGGGTACTAAGCACCACGGCCCTATTCTGGATCTTTTGTGCAGCCCGTAAGTTCACTCTACCAGGTTTCATTCATGCATGAATATTAGGGGTTTGATTGGTGAGAAGTTGAATATATCCTTCGGGGCTAGTGCAGCAGCATTCGATATTCTAGCTCGACGTAATCCTAGCATAGGACAGTTACACAATATGTGTTCAGAAGTTTCTTTCGGACAGTCACAAAATCAGCATCCAAGATTCTAGCTCGACGTAATCCTAGCATAGGTCAGTTACACAATATGTGTTCAGAGGTTTCTTTCTGACAGCCACAAAATTTGAATAACTTTGATATGGTGTTACCTTGGATGAATCTGAGACAGCAGGGTCCCGTGAGTAGTCCCGTTAGTATTCTAATATCGTTTTTCTTAAGCGATAATAACTTTTGAGATTTTTCTCTGTCTAAGAACTGTTGTAGCTTCACAATGGCGATTAAAATAATCAAAGAATCTACTTTTTGTCGGAAAAAGTCGAAGTTGACTTTTTTGTCATAACAAAGTCGAAAAGTCTTGTTAGAAAAAAGTCGAAGGATCGGTTTTGCAAATAAAAGTTGGGGAATAGTACAAGTTAAAAGATTCCAGAATAGATGTCTCTTTTCATTATCGCTTCATCAGTTCGAACATTTTCTAGGAAATATTTCAGAGAAACATATTATTTGAAAAGACGTCGTTGTGTATGTCTCCATTAGAACCGATATCTGTTTTCTTTTTAGAATAACTTCAGAACGATCACATAATTTATATATGACCTTAAATGAAGCATAATATATCCAAATTTTTGAATGGTTTACCGGAAATACAGTGATCGAACGAGCCTCCACATGTTTCTCATTCTTGTAGTATTTGTCTCTTTTCATCATAGCTTAATCAGTTCGAATATTTTCTAGGAAATATTCTAGAAAAAAATATTAGTCGATATTCATAAGAATTGATATTTACATATTTTAAAATACGTCGTAGTTTATGTTTTCTTTAGAACCGATATCTGTTTGCTCTTTTTTAGAATAACTTCAGAACAGATCATATGATTTATATATGACCTTAAATGATGCATACTAACACAATATTAATTCAAATTTTTGAATGGTTCACCGGAAATACAATGATCGAGCAAGCCTCCACATGTTTCTCATTATATTGCAATCATAAAACTAGATAACATTTTGCAAGTTTTAGGACCACAGTAGAGCAATATTTATATTTAGAAAAGTATCAGCAGTTTCTACTGCAAAAGCCCTTATTCATTGTGGTGAAATTAAATACATTTTGAATTTTGAACTCTTACGTATAAAACACCAAATTTTTAGAATAATATGGCCCAGTATATATTTAAATATTTACTTTGATTTGTTTTTATAATACCCTAATCATAAATCCATAAAATTTCAACAATCATTGTATTTTATAAGCAGTTAGTAGTACTAGTAGTGCTGGTTGATCGTTTGGCTCGTGCTAAATTGTTAATGCGTTTCGAATGAATTTGAAAAATAATGGAAGAAAAAATTCCATAATAATAGAATTAAATATTCTAACTATTTAAAAAAAATAATTCATGACATTGCATTAGAAGAGTTCAAGTACTTAGAAAGAAAACTTATCTAAATTATAGATATTTTGTATAACAATTAAACATTTACGTAGCGCATGAAACTTAACTGAACGAGCAAAAGCACGCAACTGATGATAACAGCTGATTTTACAATTTATTAATCTTCCTATACGATTTACATAAAGACATTTTTTAATTTTTTTATGAATGAAAGAGATAAATGTAAATCTGTGTATGTAATGAGAGTACTGGTAGTCTGAGTTTTTTTTTACAAGATTTGTATAATAAACCTTTTTTTTGTTGATTTTTGTTTTAATCTTTATATATTAAACCATAAAATGACTACATATTTTGTTTGGTAGAACTTTACATTCCCACATTGTGAGTGTTTGTTATCATTAAATAACCGTAATAAGAAAAAAAGTGCTGAGTTTTTTATAAATATATTTTTAATACGTAATTTGTTTTAATTTAATTACAACCCTTCTGGTAATGAAATTAACCCTTTAGTGTTAGTCAGTTGATTGTATTTAAGACTTTCTAATGTCTGAAAAAAGTTACTGTTTCAACAAAACATTCTTAGAGATATTCTTTCGGGAAATGTATTCGAAATTGTCCTTTTAAACCATTTAGAGCTTTTTGTTGTCATAGATCTGCTTGAATTTTATTCTGTGACTTTTTAGGACTCTTAACACCACTCCCTGATTAAATTTTCCAAAATAATCTCAAAATAATTAGAATTAACAATTGAAATTTATGACATTCGTCAGGAATTTCAAAAGTCGTTGTTGTATCCATCTTTACCAGTTAGGTTAGCAGGACGCACACGCAATCTTATTACTGCGGACACACTTGGGTCCAGGACATTGATCCTTTTGTGGTACCTGAAACCTGATTACTCTGAGTTCCTGTCAAAACCAGTTAGTCGCACGAATAAAGGATTCTATCTTTCGGATGTAAACCTCTGATAGATCCGTTAGGTCATGCAAAAAGTTGGTACCTAGGAGATTCAATCTTTGATTTGCTAGGGCGGGGTAATGGTAGAGGAAGTGAGTGATACTCTCATCATCCTCCTCGTCCTGACTGCTCCAGCAGAAGTCATTACTGTAGTCAAGTTACTCTCGGGGCATGAAGTAGGGCTTAGAATCAGTCGACCAATAGTTTGTCACGTATAGAACTTTTGCAGGTGGAGAGCGGTATGAAGACAAAATAGTATACTCCCCTGCTAGTGAGGAGCCCGCCTTTGCAAGAGTATCCGCGATGGTATTACCAGGTATCTGTTAATGACCTGAAATTCAATATAGTACTACTTTAGGGATGTCCGGCATTCTAGAACTAAGATTAATGTTGTATCAACACCAATTAGAGCCCTTAGGGCTGCCTAGCTATCGGTATATATTCGAATAATAACATCGTATATTTGAGCCAGTTTGCAGCTCGTTTTATGGCCGATAGTTCAGCCTGAAGAACTCTGCATTGGTGTGGAAGCTTCAAGGAAACTTCCGTTCCTGTATTGAACGTTCCTGAATTGAAAATGTTTGAGTGGTCTGACTGGGTCATATGCCACAAACCAACCGTGTTGAGTCGAATAGTCTCATTGGGGGCAACCTCTTGGGCCATTAGATCAATAGGTAGCTATCCCATCATGACAAAGAGAGCCTTTTATGGCATTAAGCAAAGGGACCTCTTATACGCAACGCCGATGTGCGGAGGATTCTTTTAAAACTTTTGCGGTGTATGTCTTGTAAAGATTACCACCAGACTAGTGCACCATATAATAGTTTGGCCTTAATTACCATGTTGAAGAGCCATTTGGTATTTCTGGGGTTTACAACCCATGACTTGCCTATTGCTACCTTTTATACAGTACCTTTCTCTGCTTCCATCTTTGATCCATCAGTGTATATCGTATTACCTGTGAGTATTTTCTTGGACCTCTTCTCGATATCCTCTTTCTTAAACTCTATAAGGGATTTTCCTTTCAATTCATTCAGGCTTAATTTGTAAGTTTTTTAATAGCTTGAGTTTTGACCCTTCAGAGTGCTAAACATCGTTTCTTTATCAATATAAGACTTAATATCGGTTCATCATAATCGACATCTTATGCTTTAAATATTTTATAATTATTTTTAAGTCTGAATGATATCATAGTAACCTGTTTATCATAACCTAGGTCTGTTTCCATCTTCAATCCATTGCATTTTTCGGTACTTTCCAACGAAACTGAATCGGGAACTCTAAAAAAGAAATTGTTTCTGCAAAGTTGATATTTGCAAAATTGATGTCCGAGGTATTCGGAAGAAGACCACCTATAAGTACAGGAACCCCTTTATGATACAATAATAGAACAATTTTCGTATCTGCATGCGAAACTGTGTGTTTCCACTGATTATTCTTCTGACACACTTTAAGAAATAGATTGAATTTAAATTTGGAAAAATCGCGATTAAAGTCAAACTTCAGTGATGAACCAGCTGATTCGTTTTTGGCTAATGGAAACCTGTGTAAGTCGGTAGTTTGACCGTGAGGTTGCTGATCCGTCACGGAACGGAACGTAAAAACTAACTGAATCATAATTAATGTTTAATGATACTTATTTGTGTAAAATTTGATAAGAGTTAAAGAATACAATTTGATTTTTCAAAAGACATTCTGTTTCTATCGCAATAATTCCAATTACTTTCAAGTATTTTCTTTAAAATCCTTCAAATATTTCAGGCGGTAACTGAGTCAATTGTGAATCGTACTTAAGAGTCTATTTAGGTATTTATAAGAGTTCTATTGACAATTATTGACTTATAATAGGATATTTCCTTGGATTAAAATCAACATCATGATCTGTAGTTTGATGCAGAGAGTATCATAGATAAATCTGTTTGGGGAAATCTAAAATGAGTGTGAGACCTTTCTATTTAATTGCTATAAACCTAGTACCATTCCAAATCTGTTGTTGTAGGTTATTAATTAAAACTTCAAAATGTTGTTGTTTTTTTAACATTTTAGTTTTTATTTCAGCCGATTCCATTCGCTTTGGTTTTCCTTTAAAATCATTTTTACTCTCAGTTTTATTATTTTGCTTAGCATTTTCCATATAATTTCCGTTGATGTATTGTTTATTTTGTTTTGTTTTCTTATTCTTTTTTTTAATGACATTTAGGTACACTATAGTTGAATAAATATCGATACATTTAGTTTTTGGTTTTCTTGTTTTCTTTTAGTTTATTTCACTATATAATTGTTTGTTTTGTTTTTTTTTTTTTCACATATAAATTTTATTTAGGCCAATTTGTAATTATTGTATTTATGGTTATTATTCATTTTATTTTATTTAAATATATAGGTAGTGGTATACATTGATTTTCAGTTTTTTATTTTCTGTTAATTTTTTATTTATTTTTGTTTTGTTTTCGCACTTAAAGACCCATTTACCAATAAAAAATGCGGTGATTTTTCATTTCGTTTTCTTGTTTTTTTTCTTCGTAATAAATATTTAATTTAATAATTATTCTTTTTGATTTCAGACTAAATATTTGTTATTGTATGGTGTTGTTGTTTTTGTTGTTGCGGTGATTTTTTAGAATTGAATTCTTTTTAGAAAGATAGAAATAGTTTCTTTTTTGAAGTGTAGAGTGAGTAAGTGAGTGAATTAATAGTGATTGATTGAGCCAGTGAGCGAGAGTGAGTGAAAGGTTAGGTGATTTATATTATGAAATAGTTTATATATTTTTTTCTTTTTTGGTTTTTATTATTTTTTTTATAAATTTCTTGTTTTGTATTTGTTTAAATATCACTAAAAAATATGCGTGGTGTTTTGTTTATTCTTTATTATTTATTTATTTATTTGTTGGGTGTAGTGAGGCTTGGATAAATGGGTTTGGACTAAAAGGTTTTTTTTTCTTATATATTTCTTAGGTTATAATTTTTGTTTCATATATATAAATTTTCTAAATTTCTTGTTTAATAATGATATTTTTTTTGGTAATTGTTTGATCAACTAATAAATAATAGTGTTTGACTCTATAGTTTGAGGTTATAATTCAAAAACCCTGTATTTTATAAGAAATCTGTGTAAGTTAAACGTTTTTCCGTGCGGAAAAACGCTCCGCTAACGCTTATATTGTATTTGTAAACTAAATAACTCCAGTCAGAGAACTTATTTTTACTCTCTGTGAAGTATACTGTAATCATAGTGGAATTATATTCTAATCATATGAAATTGATTTAGGTTTACAAAATTTTTCAAATTCTTTCCTTTTCTTAGCTCCATTTACTGTAAAAATTTAAAGAAATATTAATGTTTTGCAGTTTTACACTGAAAAAAAAAAAAAAAATTGTATAATCCGTACTCAGGTTAGGTTCAGGATCTCGTTAGTATATCTATTATTTGATTATTAGTTGCAAAACATATAACTTTAAGGATGCAATACATTGTCAAATTGACTATTCTATAGATTACCCTATAGGCCCTATTAGGCTGTAGTCTAGCCTATGTACTAGTTTATAGACTCCTTTGTAAACTAGTATATTAACTGGTCCATTAAGTAATCTAATGACAAGTCGATAGTACAGGTTATTTGTTAGTCTTGTAACTAGACTTTTGGCTATTATATGAAATAGTCTATCCACTCGGCCTTAGCCTACAGACTAGTTCATAGACTAGCCAATATATTACTTAATATACTAATCATTAGATCATTTCATATGAATTCCCTAATGTTTTAATATCAAAATGTTTTTACATTAAAGATATTTTTAACTAAATGAGAACTGTATCGTTAGATTTCTTTGGGTATGAATCCAAACGATTAACAGGCTAACAAGTTTTTAAACCGTAGACTAAAGTATATTTTTCTTAAGGATTGAGCAGCTCTAAACCCGAATTTCTCCATCAGGTTTTTAAAGATATTGTGTTCTAAAAACTGACTATATTCGGGTCTTTATAACAGAGCAAAGACATCTTTGTTGATAAAATCGCTTTTGTCCTTTGAAAGCCCTATCTGTTGACTTAAAACTAAAGGTTTAATCTCCGTTACAAACAAAATCGACCATACTTGTGGATTAATTTATAAAGATTTAAGAAATTGATTTTGTTTCCCATCCCTGCTTAATTTCCCTACAGGCTTGGGGGGTAATGATTACATTTTCAATTACAATTAAATTTGAAGTAATTGTAATTGAAGCTTTACCAGGCTTGGGGGGGTAATGACTACATTTTCAATTATATTTGAAGTAATTGTAATTGAAACTATACTAATTACAATTACAATTGCAATTACTTGTAATTGTAATTGAAGCTTTGCCAATTACCATTCTTTGTAATTGCAATTGAAGTTTTGTAATTGTAATTTAAATTTTGCCAATTAAAATTACTTATAATTGTAATTAAATAATTTCCAATTACAATTACTTGTAATTGTGAATTTTGTTCCTTATAATTACATGTAATTTGTAATTAGTAATACTTTAATTACAATTACAAGTAATTTTAATTAGAAACTTCAATTACAATTACAAAATAATTGTAATTAGCTAAACTTCAATTACAAGTAATTGTAATTGATTTTTGGTCAATTACATATTACAAGTAATTGTAATTGAAAAAAATTCAATTGCAATTACAAGTATTTGTAATTGGTTATTGCTCAATTACACATTACAAGTAATTGTAATTGACCATGTAATTAAATACTTTGTGTAACCATTACCCCCCGTGCCTGAGCTTTAAAAATTACAATAACTTGTAATTGTAAATGAAGTTTAGCCAATTACAATTACTTGTAGTTGTAATTGCAAACTTTAGTAATACCTAAATTACAAGTAATTGTAATTGTGATTGGCAATCTTCAATTACAAGTAATTGTTAAAAGTTCAATTAACATTACAAGTAATTGTAATTGAAAAACTTCAATTACTAGTAGTTTTAATTGGTAATGCTCAAGTTATACCTAAATTACAAATAATTGTGATTTGTAAACTTTAATTACAAGTAATTGGTAAAAGTTTAATTAACATTACAAGTAATTGTAATTGGAAAAAACTAAATTACAAGTAATTTTAATTGGTTAATGCTCAATTACACATTACAAGTAATTGTCATAGAAAATGTAAATAATTACTTTATGTAATTACTTTTAATGAAATTTCCAAAGGTTGTCTAGGATTTTTGTTCATATCTCCTTTATTTATGAACCGATTTTGCTAATTTTAAATAGCGTTCTTCTCGAAAGCATGTCAGACAGAATTATTGAAAATTTAGAACCCGAAGATATCTGAGGTCTTTAGAAAATGGATTTTACCAATTATACGGATGGACGGACGGACATAGTTTAATCGATTCCGTAATCTATTCCGTAATCCGGAATATATATTCTTTAAGTGGCCCGAAAATAATATTAGAGAAATTACAAAGAGAATGACAAACTTATTTACTATATACAAACTGTATATACCCTTCCCACGAAGGTGAAAGATATAAAAATGGAGAAATTCTGATGTCACATTCGGATTCATTATAGCTCAATCCTAACCTTAAATAATTTTTAATTTATAACCTCAAAATATTGTATGCGTCTCAAATGTGTGTTTAATGTTTAGTTTCATTTCCAAAAATGTATAATTATTTCTATTCGTTTTTTTGTTTTGTTTCTATCATAAAGTTTTCTTTTTAGTGGGTGTGTTGTGGTAGTGATATGGCAAATTTTTTTTTATTCATTACTTAGGTTCCATGTGTTTCAAAATAAGGTCGGATTTTCTTCGGTTCTTATTGTGTATACTTCTTTACTAGCTTAAAAAACACTGTTCTATCCCGCCCTATTACTAAATCCTTGTGTGATTTCATTTCGTGTTTTTTCCCAATTTTTATTTTATTATTCTTCTAAAAAGTACTAATTTGGCTGGTTTATGTTGTATTTGTTTTTTTGTTACGCACATTAATACATAAATAGTTTTCCAAAAAAAAATTTATTTAGCTTAAACTCAATTCCTTAAATTTTATTATTGCAAGAATTTATTTCTCAAATATTAATTCACCATTTAGGAAGGGATTCAAATATGATTTTGTATCGTAGCCGGAAACGGAAGGTGCGGTTATACGTTTACGCGCCAAAGCTTTGGTACGTTTCTCCATGTGACCATGACCATTGTGGCCATGACTGTGATGGGGCCTTTTGTCTTCTTTGGAATTCAATATCAAGGGAATAGGTATTGAGGTGTAAAGAGGTTCCTGTATTATTGATGTGGGTGGATTTAAAGCAGCCTCCTTGTATTTCTCTTCCGTTATTTTATCCTCTAGATTTTCCTCTTCCTCCAATTCCTTAAGTTTCTGATGATTACGTTGATTCCTACGATGATGTTGATAGTGTTTGCGATGTGTTTTCCTTTTGGTGCCATACACCGGTGATGTATCCAGAATGGGTAATGTTTCTATGGGCCGCAACACGGTCGTTTCTTTCTCTATGCCCAAAGGTATTCTTTCGGGTTCATTTAGTGTGGGTAATTCGACAAGTTCTGGCGGCGGTGGTGGTGGTGGTTGCCTTGCTGGATCCAGCAGGAATGTACCGTTGGTCGGTGTTACCGGTTTATTGATGCGATCTTTAGGATTTGATTGTATTATTGTCGCTGTTGCGAATATCTCTTGAAATTTATTGCCCGTTGCTGCCAATTGTTGCAGTTGTATATGTTGTTTCTGTAGAAATTGTTGACGCTGCTGTTGCAGTTGATTAAGTATACGATATTGTTCCAGAATGTGTTTATAGAATTGTTCGGCGGTTACTTCGGATGAATTGATTAAACGTATGGCGATTTTTTCGGGTATCACAATTTTGTCTGTAAGAAGAAACAGGGTAAAGATCGTATTGTTTAATTAATTATTTTAAAATATTACAAAATAGATAAACAAATTTAGAAAATTTAAAAAAATTATTTAAAACTTTATCTTTGTATCGTTTTGCAATGACCTTTTCTCGTCGAAAGTATATGTCTTCATAATACTGTGTCGTATGATTAATACTATTTGAATATTATGTTATTTATTACGTATACATCATGTAGGTATTTCACACAATTAATATTAAGTATACGCCTCGCTGTTTATTATTTAGGAATTCTTTATGACTCATACATACTACAAACGTGTGTTTTCGTTTTATATTTTTTAAATAAATCTGAATGATATTTTCTTTGAGTTTTTGATTATGAACACAAATACTAATAAATTATATTTATTGTTTTATGGAAATGTTTTTATTAAAGCAACGTTACAAAGAAAGATACCAGAAACTGTTTAATTTTAAAATCATAACTTTGTAGACGAAAAGTATTTAAAAGTACCAAAGCAGTTTTTTTTATTGAATAACTTAAAACTAAATGAGAATCTATAAAAGGGGACTTTTTGGTACCTTTTCATCTTCGACTGGTACTTTTTAAGATTTTTCTACCTAGAAACATGAAATTAAACAAGTTTAGAGAAATCTCTAGAAATGAATTTTTGGTACTTTTTCGTTTTCTAAATTGGTACTTTTTGGGTTTTTTGTAATGTTGAACATTCGACCATGAAATTAAAAGTGAAAAAACCCTTTTGACACTTTTAGAAAATTAGGCCCTTTTTGGAACTATATGGATAAAAAGTGTATTTTGGTCCTAAGTAAAGGAGAATTTATAAAAAGGTACTTTTTGTTACATTTGGAAATTTGGCTCTTTTAGCAAGTAAACGGTTAAAAATTGCATTTTCGTACTTATTTTGTACCGCACGTTTCCTTTTAACCATTTTGATTATTTCAATGGGAGTTTGGAATGACTTTGAAATTTAACTTTTTGGTACATTTTCATTCCTCAAAAGGTACTTTTTGAATTCTCAAATTGTTCCTTTTGAATTCTCTTAATATTGAACCTAGAAACATAAAATTAAGAATGTAGAGATCGGTGTGGATGAGAACCTATAAAAAGGGACATTTTGGTACTTTTTCGTTCTTCAAAAGGTACTTTTTAAGTTTTCTATAATATTGTATCTAGAAACATGAAATTAAACATGTATAGCACGGATTAAGTTAGAACCAATAAAATGGGACTTTTTGATACCTTTTGGTACTTTTTGAGTTCTCTATAATATTGAACCTAGAAACATTAAATTAAGCCCGGAGTAAATGAGAACCTATAAAAAGGGACATTTTGGTACTTTTTCGTTCTTCAAGTTTTTTTAAGTTTTCTATAATATTGAACCTAGAAGCATGAAATTAAACATGTATAGCACGGAGTAAGTGAGAACTAATAAAATGGGACTTTTTGGTATCTTTTGGTACTTTTTGAGTTCTCCATAATATTGAATGAAGAGACATGAAATTAAGCCCATAGTAAATGAGAACCTATAACAAGTTAGAGTGCTACATTCGGCTGAGCCGAATCTTAAATACCCTCCACCAGCTACTTTTATATTAATACTTTTCTAATTGATCAAATCAGTTTTCTCATGTCTTAAATAGAAAAAATCCCAAATTTAAACAGCTTAAATCTATTACAATTCCAAGATTTATTGAACATTACAAACGCCATTTTCTTTACATTTTAATAGCGCTTAGCGATATTTAGTAATTTGCATGTATGCGTGTGTGTGAAAGATTTAAGGATTTTCAAAATACATATATATAATTTTGTTCTACACAAATTGATATTGCAACTAGTTAAATACGGTTAAAGCGCTTTTAAAGGCAGGACCTAGTATTGGAGATATGACCAATTATAGACCGATCGTAAAAAAATCTTTAAGCAAAATTTCTGTACATAAAAGCTATATTTCAGTCAAATTTTGTATCTATATCGTAATTTTGTAATAAGTTATGAGTGTTTATGTGATTTTCTGAAGGAAAACTTGTACGGGACCGACCGCACCCATGTTATGAACCAATCGTGAAAAAATCTTGAAATAGAATTTTTGTATACAAAACTAATATTTGTGCCAAATTTTGTATCAATAGCTTTATTTAGTAATAAGTAATGTGCGTTTTAGTGATTTTCTGAAGGGAACATTGTATGGGACCCACCGCACTCATGTTATGAACCTATCGAGAAAAAATCCTGAAATATAATTTTTGTATACAAAACTATTATTTGTGCCAAATGTTGTATCAATGGCTTTATTTGGTAATGAGAAATGTGCTTTTAGGAGATTTTCGTAAAAGGACCTTTTATGGGAGCTATGACCAATTATGTATATAAAGAAAATTTCAAAATTCTGTATCTATATCATTTTTGGTAATGAATATTGTGCATTTAAGTGATTTTCTGGAGGGGACCTAGTATGAGAGCTATGACCAAATATGGACCGATCGTAAAACAATTTTATAGTATAATTTATGTATATAAGATCAATATTTTTGCTAAATGTATGGATACCAATATTTGGTAATGAGTTATGTGCGTTTAAGTGATTTTCGGGAGGAAACCTTGTGTGAGAGCTATGGCCAAGGATGGACCGATCGTGAAAAAATTTTGAAATAACATTTATGTGTACAAAAATAGTATTTATGCCAAATATTTTATGGGCATCACTATTAGGCAATAAGCTTTAAGTGTTTTTTTGAAAGGGACCTTGTTGGGAGCTATGATCAATTATGGACCGATAGGAAAACATTTTCACAGTAATATTTCTGTGCATATAAGCAATACTTAGTACCAAATTTTATATGGATATCTTCATTAACTTGGGAGCTATGGCCAATTATGGACCGATCGGAAAAACTTTTCACAGTAATATTTTTGTGCATATGAGCAATACTTGTACCAAATTTTATATTGATATCTTAATTTTGTAATGAGTTATGTGCGTTTAAGTGATTTTCGGGAGGGGACCTTGTATGGGAGCTATGACCAATTATGGACAGATCGGAGAAAACTTTCAAAGTAATATTTCTTTATATATGAGCAATACTTGTGACAAACTTTATATGGATATCTTAATTTAGTAATGAGTTATGTGCGTTTAAGTGATTTTCGGGAGGGGACCTTGTATGGGAGCCATGACCAATTATGGACCGATCGGAAAAAAATTTCTCAGTAATATTTCTGTGCATATAAGCAATACTTGTACAAACTTTTATATGGATATCTTACTTTAGTAATGAGTTATTCACGTTTAAGTGATTTTCGGGAGGGGACCTTGTATGGGAGTTATGACCAATTATGGACCGATCGGAAAAAACTTTCATAGTAATATTTCTGTATATAAGAGCAATACTTGCACCAAATTTTATATGGATATCTTCATTTACTAATGAGTTATGTGCGTTTTAGTGATTTTCGGGAGGGGACCTTGTATGGGAGCTATGACCAATTATGGACCGATCCAAAAAAATTTAATAGTAATATTTCTGTATATAAGAGCAATACTTGCACCAAATTTTATATGGATATCTTCATTTACTAATGAGTTATGTGGTTTTAAGTGATTTTCGGGAGGGGACCTTGTATGGGAGCTATGACCAATTATGGACCGATCCAAAAAAACGTTCATAGTAATATTTCTGTATATAAGAGCAATACTTGCACCAAATTTTATATGGATATCTTCATTTACTAATGAGTTATCTGGTTTTAAGTGATTTTCGGGAGGGGACCTTGTATGGGAGCTATGACCAATTATGGACCGATCGGAAAATAATTTAAGAATAATATTTCTGTGCATATGAGAAATACTTATTCCAAATTTTATATGGATATCTTTATTTAGTAATGAGTTATGCGCGTTTAAGTGATTTTCGGGAGGGGACCTTGTATGGGAGCTATGTCCAATTATGGTCCGATCCGGAAAATTTTTGCACTGAATGAATTCTATTGACATAAGATTTTAATTTGTAAAATTTTGTGAAGATATCGATATTGTGACGGAAGTTATTAACAAAAAACCCATTTTCCGGGAATATGTACTTTTGTATGGGAGGTATATGAAATTGTGGACCGATTCTGGCAATTTTCAGCAGGAATCAAGATCTTGTGCAGAAACGAATGTTTGCTGACTTTCATGAAATTATCTTGCATAGTTTTCGAGAAAATTACATCAGAATGTGTAAAAAATGCTTATTTTTTCGAGGTTGTTTTAAATTTTGATTCATAACTTTTCCCGGTGTGAACGGATTTTGCTCATTTTCAATACCAAACTGCTTAGGACAACAATGAATATTTTCGGTGAATTTGGTTTACTTCCTTTGCTTCGTTTTAACGTGAGCGTGTTTTAGACAGACAGACAGACAGACGGACAGACGGACAGACGGACATAGCTAAATCGACTCAGAATTTGATAAGGACCCAGAATATATATACTTTGTTGGGTCTAAGATGAATATTTCTTGGTGTTACACACGGAATGACAAAGTTATATATACCCTCTATCACCACTGATGGTGGTGGAGGGTATAAAAAGGGACTTTTTGGTACTTTTTCGTTCTTTAAAAGGTACTTTTAGTGTTTTCTATAATATTGAATCTGGAAATATGAAATTAAACATGTATAGCCCGGAGTAAAGGGGACTTTATGGTACTTTTTCGTTCTTTAAAAGGTACATTTTGATTTTTTTACAATAACGGCCCTAGAAACATGGGACTTTTTGGTACTTTTTCGTTCTTCAAAAAGTACTTTTTGTGTTTTCTATAATATTGAACCTAGAAACAAGAAATATAACATGTACAGCACGGAGTAAATTGGAACCTATAAAAGCGGACTATTTGGTACTTTTACATTCTGCAAAAGGTACTTTTTGGAAAATTGTACTCCTTAAGTAAGTAAACGGGTAAAAACTATATTTAGAAATACAATTTTTAATTTTTTCGTAACTTATC